GCCACCTACAACCTACAACTCGTATCTTGCATCTTGGTACAATCATCGACTCAGCTACGGGACACATTATCCTGGCCCCAGATCGTCGTCTGAGCATTGCAGCCTTGATTTCGCAGGTACAATCATCCCCATCTGTTTCCATCCTGCAGCTGTCCCAACTGCTCGGGAAACTCATCTCTTGCATCCACATCGTTCCCTGGGCCCGCCTCCATTCCCGACCCCTTCAATGGTACCTCCTCCCATATCAGAAGTCTCTTGGCAGCAATTCCAGGTCAAAGGTCCGACTCCCATGTTCCATCTAATGGTCCCTCCATTGGTGGACCTTCCCCGCTATAGCGAGGGGGTGCTTCTTTCAGGAACCTCCCAGGGTGACAGTAACAACGGATGTGAGTCTGATGGGTTGGGGCACCCATCTTTCCACCAAGATGGCCCAAGGTTGTTGGTCACCAAACGACCTCCAAAACGACATAAATTGGCTGGAGCTGAGGGCAGTCCACTTGGCCCTCTGCCACTTTCAGTCCGAGATAGAGGGGCGCCATGTGCTGGTCTTAACGGACAACATTACGGCCAAAGCACATGTCAATTGGGAGGGCAGCGCTCGCTCCAAGCCTCTGTTGGACGGGGCTCTGTCTCTTCTTTCCTGGGCGGAGGACCACATATTCTCCATCTCGGTTCAACACATCTCCGGGTCGGACAACACCCAGGCAGACTGGCTGAGCCGCTCCCAAATCGACCATGCAGAATGGCGCTTGGACCCTGGATTCTTCCAAGAGCTGTCGACCAGTTTTGGGGTTTCCCTCGTGGACTTGTTTGCGAGCCCTTGCAACGCACAACTTCCTCGCTTTTTCTCCCGATTCCCCAGCCCAACGTCCGAGGGAACGGATGCCCTCCGCTGCTCCTGGCCTCACGGTCTGTTGTATGCCTTCCCGCCCCCTTCCGCTCCTCCCGAGGGTGTTGCGCAAGATCTTATCAGAGGGCGCGGAGGTTCTTCTGATTGCCCTGCACTGGCCCTGTCAGCCGTGGTATGCGGACCTTCTGGACCTGTCGACCTCCCTCCCCTGGAGGATCCCCCAGGATTGGATCTCTCTCAGCCAGGGGGGTCATCCAACACCTGGAGCCGCAATGACTCCAGTTGACCGTCTGGCATTTGAGAGGGTCCTCCTGAGAAGGGACAACCTGTCAGGATGGGTAATCACCACAATGCGAGCTTCTACCAGACGGATCTATGACGTTACCTGGCGGGCGTTTCGTCGATGGTGCTCCCTGAATAACACTGACCCGGCCAGGGCTTCTGCGGCCGTTCTCCTCAAATTTCTTCAGGACAGATTTGACAAGGGCCTTGCGTCAAATACTCTCCGACGCCAGGTGGCTGCCTTGAACTCGGTCTTACTGTGTGCATCAGATCATCCACTGTCGCAGGATCCGAGGATTCAGAAATTTCTTAAAGGGGCCACTAATCTCCATCCCCCGGTAGTCCATCGATACCCGACGTGGGACCTTGCCCTGGTTCTCCAGGTGCTGATGTCTCCGCCCTTCGAGCCCTTGTCCTCTGTCAGTCTCTGATTCCTGATCCTGAAAGTCGCCTTCCTTGTGGCGATTACCTCTGCTAGGAGGGTCTCTGAACTAGCGGCTCTGTCCGTCCGTCCCGACCTCTGCATTTTCCACACAAACAGAGTGGTGCTTCGGATGGATCCTTCTTTCATACCGAAAATCAATTCGATCTACCATCGTTCGCAAGAACTGATCCTCCTGGACTTTTGCCCGGTTCCTCGCCATCGCCTGGAGGCTCAGTGGCATACCTTAGACGTCCGGCATGCGCTATGATATTACATCAAAAGTGCGGCGCCATTTTGGAAATCGGAAGCGCTCTTCATTTCCTTCTTACCAGAGTCAATGGGGCACAAAGTTTCTTCCGCCACGATTGGTCGCTGGCTCAAGGCATGTATTGCCAAAGTTACACCCTTAGGAACAGGACACTGCCCGGACGTATTCTGCTGCACTCGAGGAGCGCCTCCACGACGGCGGCTTGGGCCACACAGGCATCCATCTTGGACATTTGTCGAGCTGCAACCTGGACATCTCTTACGCCTTTTATATGCCACTACAAGGTTGACTCCTTCGCCTTGGCTGAGGTGTCCTTTGGACGGCATGTTTTACAGGCTGTCATCTCTCCTTCTGATACCCGGGAGCATTCAGCCTCCCGCCCTTCCCTCCCGCCCCCCGTCTAGCACTTGCTTGGGTATGTCCCACGCTCTTGGATTCTCCAAGCAGCGCGCTAGAGAATGGACATTGCTTGCCTGAATGTCCTTTCTGGGCACGCTGCTGGAGAATCCAACCCACCCTGGCCGGCTTCTGCTCCGAGGTTCCAGATGGCTCTTGGACCTTCGTATGTGCCTTTCTTTGTGAAAGAAACTGAGCCTCAGCCAGGCCCTGGAGGCGGAGTCAACTGTTTGTCTTAAAGTCATATGCACTCAGTATCAGCCTAGCTGAGGGAAACTACTCACGTTCTTGGATTCTCCAGCAGTGCGCCCAGAAAGGACGTTCAGGCAAGCAACGTCCATTTAATTTACTATGCATATCAAGTCCTTAACAAGTATCTAACTTCTGACAAAATGTTCGTTTCATCCCCCAGAGCTAGGAAACCATTATCTGTTTTTCTTTATGCAGATAATATGATCATCCTCTTCCTGATATGTGCTGGCTTCAAAGTTAATCTTTACAACTAGTTCTCGACTTACAACCATTTGTTAGTGACAGCTCTAAGTTACAGTGGCAGTGGAAAAAGTGACTTATGACTCTTTTTCACATTTATGACTGTTGCAGCATTCCCATGGCCATGTGATCAAAGTCAGATGCCTGCAACGGGTTCATATTTATGATGGAGTCATGTGATCACCTTTTGCGACTACTGACAAGCAAAGTCAATGGGGAAGCAGATTCATTTAACAACCATTTTACTAATTGATTCACTTAACAGTTGAGGCAAGAAAGGTCATAAAATAGGACAAAACTCACTTAACCGTCTCAATAAGGCAAATATTGGGCTCAATTGTAGTTGTACTTTGAGTACTCTATTCTAAGGAAGAAAAAATAGAAAATAATTGTAGTAAAACAAAAGTAGTCACATTCACAAAACAATACATACAAATCTGTCATAAATAGAAAATCGTATGCAATGAGTTTGAACAGATATTATTTTTGTTTCATTCATCTGCTAGAAAGAGCAAGGATAAACTATTTCATCTTGTGCACAAAAACCTAACCATTAAATTTGTCAAACATTATGAAAATAATCACATTCCTTTTGGAATCACAGTTTTCAGGGCCAAAGAGCTGAGTTCAATGCTTTATAGACACAAATTTGGCACACAAATTTGTGTCTATAAAGATGAGAACAAATTGAAGGTAATTCAGTACAAGTTCTTAAGAGCAATTCTTCACTCACGGCATTTCAGTGCAAGCTGAGGCCAGAGCTAGGTTGCATTACAGTGAAAGCCCACATGAGGATTTACTGATTGAAATACTAGTTAAAATTAATTTTGAGGGAGAAAGGTATCTATCCCAATTACTATACATTGAATCTAAGCTTGACTACTCATTTTTTTTAAAAAAGCAAATAAGCTTGGAATCTCACTTCACTGGAATCTGGAAGGCCCTTATAAGAAATCATGCTATGTGTTCTGGATCTAGGGTTTACACTAGAAGCCGAATTTCCTATAACACTGGCCTGTGGAACAAGATTTATTTACTCTTTTAAATATTTATATATTTTCTCTGTCCCTCACAGAAGAACATATACTCTTGCCAGCTTTTGGTCTTTCCATCAAGGTTGTAGATAGGAGGTAGAAATGGCACTTCGAATTAATGTCACTCCTCTTTATTAATTGCTTCAACTGTGCCATGGAAGAAACACTTTTTTTCTGTTAGCTGACAAATCTTTTAGAAATCTTTTAAAAAGTAAAAAAGCACTCTTCCATCATGATTACTGTAATGAAACTCTGTAGAATTACTTTCCCTATAGATTGTTCCGTGTCAAAAGATAATTAGCTGTGTTTTTCTCTTATTTTAATTTATGACATGTAGGGTGTACTATATACATAGAATGTTAGTTTATGGTCACGAATAAACTTTGATACTTGGTGCTATTCATATTTCGTCTGGAAATTGCAGAGAAGTTTTTCATCCCCATACTTTTCTCACATGAGACAGGATTGTATATGAGATTATGCAGATAGGAATCAATTACTTTCACTGAAAATTTTACCCAATAGTGATTTATGCTTTTATTTTGCTTTATTTTTGTCTTCATCCCCTTTTTTGGAGTGTAACTTTTAGCAGGTATATAATGCCTGTGCAAATCTGTCACATTTTGGCAAATATGTTACATATATACAGGGATATTTTTCAGCTAGACTTAGCAACTCCAAATTAACAAGGGAGGAAGCTTTCAACAGTGTATTTGTCTACACACAAACACACATGTGTGGGCATGAATGTGCATATAAATCTGTGCATGTACATTCAATCTGTTGTCTCTTCATTTGGGGAAATCATAATTTTAGGGAAATTATTTCTGTCCTTTAATTATTGGTTAAAGTTTTTTAATATTTTGGGAGCAGGTAACCTCAAGAACTGTTCACGTTTATAAATAATAATAAAGCTATCCAATTAAATGTGAACATAAAATCATTATCCTTTTCTTGGTCTCACCCTTTATGATATAAAAGGATGAGTAGATGAAACAAAAAATTTCCAGTGATAATATTGAAACCAAAATATTTCCTGTGAATATTTACTAGGCTCCTTCTATTTTTAGTTTTAAAATGCTTCTTAAGATATACTGATTTTTGTGTTTAATGTGTAGCTTTGGTCTGCTTTATTTGCTGTACTCATTGGACCTTTGCTTCAAGATCACTGTTGTATTTATTGTGCTGCATTATGCTGTTAGAAGTCGAGTTAATAAAAATAATTGCTTTTATCTTTGTTAAATTGTTTCTAAGGAGGAGACTATCAAGGATTCATCAGGTCAAGAGGATGAGACACAGTCATCAAATGGTGATCCAGTTTCATCTGTAGTACCAGAAGTAATTCGCCCACGTCGTTGTAAATACTTTGATACAAGTATGTATTTTTAAAATCAGTTTTTAAGCATTTTTAAAATGCATGGAAGTTGTATAAATATTTGGGCATTCTCATGTGCAGGAAATGAATATCAGGAGAGTTAGAACCATTGCAGCAATGAAATCTGGAATTTTGAATTCAAGTGATTGCAGCACTTATTTTTGTGTATAGAAATTTGCACAAATTTAATAAGACAAAGGCAGTAGGTTTTTTTCTCTATAGTTGAAAACTGGATGTATGGAAAGAGTCTCTCTTCTCGGTTCTCTAATATTTTAAAAGCATCTGCAAGGAGAAAATGTTTTGTTGTGGAAAGAGAATGTTTATGAACTTCAGAGCTCTTATCAACTGGTTGGAGACAGTAAGAACTTTCTGTACAAATAAAAGTTTGCCTTTTCCTTTCTCATAGAGAAAGATAGTAGTTGCTGTTTGTCTTTACAATGAAGGTACTTATCAAGAATAAACTGTGTGGGGAGTGGGAGAATGATCTTCTCTAAAGTCTTGTCACTTGATAGCATTGGATCTACTGAGAAGCATGTTAGAAGGTATTTTCTCCGTAAAGATAATGCTGGTTGGTGTTAAAACTTCTGAATTCTGTATTTGAATCTCAAGATCTACTGCCCTACTTTCTAATACATTTCTGAGAAGAGTATAACCTGCACAGTTATGTGTAAAAACATAATTCAGGTATATATAGCACTTATGCTGCTATTACTGCATTCAAGTGAGAAAATCCTCTGTGTGTTCTGGAAGAGAGCATTTCTAACTGCTGGATATATTTTTCTTGTTTGATAGTGAGATAATAAGCTCTGAGCTCTGTCACACAATATTGAAGGGTGGGAAAAGAGGAAGGGGGTCTTGAAGAGAGGTAAAAGTGGCTGGCTGATTTGTTAAATCAGAGATTTTCCATTTCTGATGTTCACAGTTAACATTTGGAAAACTGGCTAGAGAAATAGAAGCTTAGCTGATGTTATCGCTGACCCAATCATTGCTCTAATATTGATATTTATATGAATGCTAAGAATTTTAACTAACTTTTCTTCCATTACGGTCTGGTTTTTGCTTAGCTTATTTCTAATTACATATACATGTGTATGAGCAGAAATGCTCTTAACATAAAGTTAGTCCAAAAAATGTAGCAAAATAATTTTGTATGCTTTCAAAACTAATATATAGCATGATAATTTTTAATCCATGAATCTCTGCTTTAAAATGTCATTTGTATTTGTCCTTCGTGTATGGAATTTGTGGGATGATTAAATTATTTTACAATGAATTGCTTAGCTAATATATTCTGAAACATTTGTATATATCCTTCTAATGTATATCCCTGAAAGAATATAGTTAACTTTTAGCTGTGTGAACCTTTCTCCCGATTCTTTATATGAAGAACATTTCTATTTTTTTTTTAGTATTGCATGCTAAGTCTTGCCTTTGACAAAAACTTGTTTTATATTTTAATACTATGTTTTTGGGACTTTCAAGATACAGATGTTCCTAAGCAACATCTTGTTTAATGTATCAGCTCTTTAGCAATGCTATTTACCTAAAGTAAATATATTAGAATGTACATTTGTCAATATTTTTCAAAATCGGAAACCTCCTAGCTTACTGTAGTTCAGAGTATTATGAGTCAGGACATATCAACCACAATTAGTCACACAGAGTTGGTTGTGACATCACAGTTCAATATTTAATTAACCAACCAGATATGGGACTTGAAAAATCTGTCTGTAGAAAATAGTTTGTTTGAAAAAATGTAAATTCAGGATAGCTATCCCTATGTAACTGAAAGTTGTTAATTTTTTTAAATATAGATAGTGAAATAGAAGAGGAATCTGAAGAAGACGAAGACTATATTCCTTCAGAAGACTGGAAAAAAGTAAATATGAGCTTTATGATAAACTGTAGCAACATAATATGATCATTGTACAAATTAATTTGTGGGGAAAGTCATTCCTAACATTATGAGTATTCAAAGTTCCTTCTTACGAAGCTAGTCCCAGCTAGTTGGGACTCAAGGAGCCGTTACAGTTAAGCTATTTGAAGATTAAATTTGAATGATCTCACAGACTGAGTACTTTGCCAGAAGATATGAAGCATGCAGCTATATTTATTTTAAAAGTTCTAAATCTGACTTAAATAAAATCATTGTTGAAATCTTGTTAATTAAAATGTATTGAGAATTTCAGAGGCAAGGTTTTGGAAGGGGAGGTTGGAAAAAATGTTTTTTTGTTAGTTACATCTGCAATTTTATTATGTTTCATTGGAATTTCTTCCCCTCCTCCCTTCTTTATCCAAATGATCGTCACTGGAAAAAAAACATTTCACTGTTGTGTCTACCTGATAACTAGGGGTCAGGTTGAAAATCTTGTTCCGACTGCAGATTTTTGTTTTTAATCTGACATTCAAGGTTAACAGTTTGATTTTGCACATAAATTGAATCATTTATTACTTAAGTGTACTTGCTTCATTCTCATACAAAAAGTCAGTATTCTAGAATCTTTTCTTATTCATGAACAATGACAGCAAAGGAAACCTTAAATTTATATGCAAGTAATCAGCTTTGCCAATTTCCTAACCAGACACAATCTGGAATTGTGGTTTATAGTTGCTGCAAACTCTTTGCATTTGGCAGTACCAAGTCCAGAATTTGGGTCGAAAGTTAACATGTTCTTTGTTCCTGAGTTATTTAGCCACTCAAGTTAGGAGCTACTTGGCAGTTTTTGAAAAAATGCAGTGGAATCTGGCATTTTTATTGACAAATTTGGCTACTATTAAGCCCATGCAATTGTTTACATTACATAAGTCAATATATGAACAAATATACTTATTTCATACTCTTAAAATGTTTTTATTGCAATGGTATTTGACTGTCTTTCTAGTTATTGAACAGTACAGAATAGGATAACAGAGTTGGAAGGGACCTTGGAGGTCTTCTAGTCCAACCCCCTGCTTAGGCAGGAAATCCTACACCACTTCAGACAAATGGTTATCTATCTTAAAAACTTCCAGTGTTGGAGCATTTACAACTTCTGGAGGCAAGTTGTTCCACTGATTAATTGTTCTAACTGTCAGGAAATTTCTCCTTAGTTCTAAGTTACTTCTCTCCTTGATTAGTTTCTACCCATTGCTTGTTCTACCCTCAGGTGCTTTGGAGAATAGTTTGACTCCCTCTTCTTTATGGTGTTTGATCTGTGATTACAGATGATTTATACTTTTTTCCAAACAGGAAATTATGGTGGGCTCCATGTATCAAGCTGAAATTCCAGTTGGTATATCTAAATATAAAGAGAATGAGAAAGGTAAAGTAATTGGCATTTCATTTTAATTAAGGTTGCAATTAAGAATAAGGTATAAGATACAAAGAATACGTAGGGAAGCTTTACATTTATTCATACTGAGGAAATAATACAAAGGAAATAGAAGCTGGCTTTGAACACCATTTTAAAGAAATTGGTTTGCCTTGGTGTGTTTCTAATGCTTTTAAATTAGTGTTATATGTGAACTGAAATCACTTTATTTAAAAATATGATTAAATAAACTGGCTTAGAGATATAGATACACACATGCACACACACGAGCAAGGGATGATACAAACCTCTGTGCACCGTTTCCTTACCACTTACAACACTGGATTTCCCATTACCAGGTGCAAGACTTTCTATTGCATCTCCCATGTATGTAACTTTAAAATTCCTAACAACCTATGAATTACTGATCAATAAGAATATTTCAAGCTGCCTGAATTACAGAAGCTATAATAGTGAAAGCATTTTTCAGAAATTGTAGCTGTGGTGCTTTGGAGATTGCAGAAACACTAAGAACAATTTATTGGTTGAGCAACTCCGACACTTCTGGCAGTTGGAAATTTGGTACTGTATATATTACAATGAGATAAATATAATTCCAATTAATTCAAAACATTGGTTCTGCCTGGTTCAATGCTTAATGATTAATTAGCTGGGTAACTAATACCTTGATTCTGTTATTGGCTATATTTATGGAGGATTTTGAATTATGAACTGTACTATTTCATGTCGGTAAAATGATGTGTTCAGAAACTAGTCTGAAATATTTCCTATAGTTGAGAGCCAATTTGGTCTAATAGTTAAGGCACCAGCTAGAAAACAGGAAACCATGAGTTCAAGTCCCAACTTAGCTAGAAAACCAATCTGGGTGATTTTAGGCTAATCACTCTCTTTTAGCCTAATCTACTTCACAGGGTTGTTGGGTATGGAAAATAAGAAAAGGAAGGAGTATTTGCCACTTTATTTGTAAAAATAATAAAGGCAGAATATAAATAAATACAGAAAATATATAATTAATCTGTTTCTCTTTTGCTTTGTGTGCTTTTTTTCTCTTTTCCTTTTGTATGTTAAAGGGAAAAGTTATAAAATTAAAAGACACTTCAGTTTTCATCATTGTGGTTTTGAGGCTAGCAGCATTCATAGATGTCAGATTTGGTAATATCTTCTATAGCTGGCAGGATATAATATAATTTTAGAACCGTTTCTGCAAGGGATGTTAGGAAGCAAGGAACAGAATATTTTTGCTATTATATTCTCCAAAAGATTTTTAACATTCAAGTATCAATTTTTCCTTATATATAAATATTTAACAATAATTATATGTACAGTAGTGGCCAAAATTGTGGAAACTTTTTGGGAAAAGTGTATTTTTGAGGTTTGATGGTTAATAACCCCACTTTTTGGGGGGGAGTTTCAAGATAATCATATTCCACTGCTGTAATGGCCTGGGAATAGCCCAGACCTTAACCCAATTGAAAATCTATGGAGCCGACTAAAGAAACTTGTTAGTCAGAAGCAACCCAGCAATAAAACCCAGTTAATAGAAGCAATCATTCAATCTTGGTTTCACATTATAACAGCTGCAGAACTAAAAGACTTGGTTCACTCCATGGGAAGACGTTGTAAGGCCGTAATTCATGCTAAAGGTTACCCAACTAAGTATTAACTGATGTGATAATTTTTGTATATCTCGTTTTCTCTATGGTGATAATTTTATTATATCTCATTTTTTCTACATGTTTCACTTTTTTTCTTTATACTGTAACTGCTATTCTAATAGCAAATCCTTCATAAAAGTTATTCCATTATTTAATTAAATTAATTAAATTATATTTCCATTGATATATAATTTTATGGTAGTACTCCAAGAAAATGTGGTGTTATTAGCTAGTTTTAGAAAATACACTTTTTCCAAAAAGGTTTCCACAATTTTGGCCACTACTTTAATGTAATGTTGTTAGAAATCTAGTTTGCGCTTACTTGGATCTGGGTGAAATAAGTAAAAAGGTAAACAGTAAAGTAAACAAATGAGGCACTTTCCAGAAGCTCTTTGCTTTTCCCTTTCATTCAGATCTCCTGTTTTTCATTAATATTTTTAAAAATGATAAATTTATTAGTCATCTGCAAAGAATGCAAATAATTATATGATCTTTAAGTATTGTTAGGAAACATGTAATTATCTGTCTCTAATTTTAGTGTATGAAAATGATGATCAATTACTATGGAATCCAGATTACTTGACTGAAGATAAAGTGATTGAATTCCTTAATGAAGCCTCCAGACGTACAGGCGATGAAAGAGGAATTGATGCAATTCCTGAAGGATCCCATATTAAAGATAATGAACAGGTAAAATTTTCGTTAAAATTTTCCTTGGAGGTGTATGAGCTGTCCAGAACAGTGGAAGAAGATTGTGTAGATGATGAAGAGACAGAAAATCGGGGGAAATTGGTTCATTTTTTCCATCAGCAGAGGCATTTTAAGCAGGCCACTCCTTCAGGATTTTACTGTCAAAGAAATATTATCCTATATCCAATCCATAACGATATCTTGAAGAGATTATTCAGAATTTTTATATTAGCTATAGAAAAACCTGGAGATCATAGTTCATATATGGTTGAGCTATGTCATTTTTAAAATTAGAATTTTAAAATTGAAACCTGAGATGACAATTTGGAGTTCTTCTTTTGCAGGCTTTGTATGAATTAGTGAAATGTAATTTTGATACAGATGAAGCATTAAGAAGATTGAGATTTAATGTAAAAGCAGCTCGGGGTATGTATGATTTTTTAAAATGTGTTTTACTATTGTGAATTTCTGCATCATTTTTCAAATTTGTTTCTTACATTTACATACACACACACACAGCCACAGTGATTTTCATACTTATTTCAGTTGAATATTTTATTCTCTTAAACTTCAGCTCTGATATACATATATATTACAGTAACCATATTTTCCTTCTGGTAGATATGGAGAAAGAGAGTTCATCTGAAGATGGGGTGGTGGAGGAGGTGGGACGGGAAGAGGACAGGGAGGACCTAATTCATAGCACATCTTTTGCTGTGGAGGTATTTCCATACTACCTTGGTTATCTTGAAAACTAGTACAGCATAAAAAAAAAGATAATGATGGCAACTCATGGCATTGTATTTTCACAGTGCAACGATTTCTGTAAAAGTGTATGAATGTGAAGAACTTCTATGCAGAAAAGATTTTGTCTGCTCTGAAAATGAAAAGGGACAGGAAGAAAGGAATGGTCCCTTGCTAAATTCTGCTTTCTAAACCAATTAACCCCCAACCCTATCCTAGGAAATAAATTAGGCAGGAAGAAGATGCTTACAATATGAAGCATTTGCTCATCTTCCCCATGTACTCTTTTAAATACATTATAAGGAGCTTCCCTGTTTCCAGATACCTTTATCTAAATAAAATGGTCCTGTATCAAACATGAGATATGCTATCATTTTTAATACTTAAGAATTCATACATAACTTCCTTCTTTGACTTGTAGTTCCTTATTAATTTATGTATTGTGTATTATTTTAATTCAGAGGAGCTGTCTGTTTGGACAGAAGAAGAATGTAGAAATTTTGAACAAGGTTTGAAGGCTTATGGAAAGGATTTTCACTTAATCCAAGCAAACAAGGTTAGTAACTTGTATAATGATGAAAGCATTAAGTGCAAAAATGTAATGTGGGAGATTTCAATTTGCTTTCTCTCAACATAGAGTTAGAAGAGGCTCAGTAGTTCATGGCCACCATGGTAACAACAGAGATGATCCATGTTACTGAAGGGTGGGGAGCTTGACTATAGAATACTTATTTTATCTCTGACCTGTAAGCCTAAAATTGCCCTTCCAGCTGTCTCAGTTTGGAAAGTTAATTTGAATGAAGTCACATTTTTATTGTAATGAAGGCAATGCAGGTAGACCTCGACCTACAACCATTCATTTAGTAAGTTCAAAGTTACAATAGCACTGAAAAAAGTGACTTCTGATAGTTTTTCACAACAACGTTGCAGCATTCCTATGGTTATATGATCAGAATTTGGACAGTTGGCAAATGGTTCATATTTATGACGGTTATAGTGTCCAGGGTCATGTGATCACCTTTTGCGACCTTCTGACAAGCAAGTCAATGGGGAAGCCAGATTCACTTAACAACCACTGCAATGATTCACTTAACAACTGTGGCAAGAAAGGTTGTAAAATGAGGCAAAATTCACTTAACAACTGTCTCGCTTAGCAATGGAAATTTTGGGCTCAATTGTGGTCGTAAGTCAAGGACTTGTGTTATTGCGTAGTTTTACTCTAATGTGGCACTTAAAGAGTACTTTTAGCTTTGACCTCTGAGACCTCAGTATGACAAATGCAGTTATTCTCGGTTATAGGATGTTACGATCCTTTCACAGACTGAATTTTCCTTGCGCATATTAATAGTGATTATCACTGAACACCAGTGGCTATCACTTAACCGTCATTAACATTGAGGCTGACCAAGTTTCCACATAATCACTTTCTATCCATCTTAAGCATAGAATCTTGTTAACTTTAACCATGCTTAAGTTTAGGGCTAAGTTAGAGCTCTGGCATTACCATGTGACAACCTTGGAGAAGCTGTTAAATCCCATTTCACCCATAAGATCCTGCACTGCTGATGCATGTCCTGCTCCCCTTATGTTACCCAATTGGATCTTCAAGCTGTCATTATGTAATGTTTAGCAGTACCTTGAAATAGTATTACGTGAAGCAGACAGAGGCATTACGTAGAAATTACAATGGCTCCTTACCTTTGAAGTATTGCTGTCAAATCACTGGCTCTAATATGGTCCATGTATCAGGATATTTAATATTGATTCCATCTCTCAAAACCCTTTTGTTTATATTCTGCAAAAGATGTTACATTATTTGCAGTTCTAGTGTCTTATGCAATTATGGCACTAATTCTATACAGTAGTTTATTGAGGTAATGTTCCTTTGATGGTACAGAATTCTGTTAGTCTCTTTATATGCATCCCAGAAAGACATTCAGTGTTTTCTAAGGCTGTTACCACTTTTGATAAGCCTCCTGCTTACAGTCCATTGTTGTTGTCAATTAGCTAAAATGTTGAGTTCTTCTTTTTCCCATATCTTTCTTAACAAGAGTTCAGTTACTAAAAAAATTCACGATTTTCTGTAATGTGTTGTTTCAAATAATTCTTCACCACATCTATTCCATGATAGTGGGATTCTTCTCCAGCAAACTCAACAGGATTTTATTCTTTAACAGAAGCAGTAGTTTTTTGTTCACTTGTTAAAAAACTGATTTGCCTGAGACTTGACTTACAGAGGTCTATTTTTTATTATTGTTTGTATTATAGTCCTACTACGGTATTCTAGCGTTATTTAAGCAAATGAATATGTAGGCAAGATTAGAGTACCAGCACAATCATGATGATGACGGTGGTGAGGATGATATGCCAAGTGTTACAAAGTCAAAAAGGGGTGTTGCATGATGTTTGAGTTTTAAAAAAAAGAGCAATTTACTGTCTGCTGGCTTTCTATAGGCAACACTTTGACAAAAATGTTCCATATTGAATATTCCCTTTCTTAAAGATATATCCTTTTATATGAATTTTATATTAAAGTGGATTATATTCTTGGTGTGTAATAAACACAGGTACGAACAAGATCTGTTGGAGAGTGTGTAGCATTTTACTACATGTGGAAAAAATCAGAACGATATGACTTTTTTGCTCAGCAGACAAGATTTGGTAAAAAGAAGTACAATCTCCATCCTGGTGTAACGTAAGTCTTTTTGATTACATATTAGTTTCCTCATCTTGCACTGGACTGAAATAATTTTTAAAAAAACGATAGCTGTTTTAATTAATTAGAAATGAAAGTATTTATTTATAGTCATCAATCTGAATACCACGTTTGTATTACATTAGAATATTATGTTGTTTTCTTAAAAGTACAGATGCTATCATTGAAACTACAACTTTATCTTTTATTCCCAAAGTCCAGATTATATGTCTCATTTTCTCACGAATATGACCAATAGTATAACTGATAGGAATATCAGTTTAGAAAAGTATAGAAAAAGCAGTTGAATTGGAATTTTAACTGAGATTCCTCTGAACTGAATCTAGGAATACACTCACCCTCTCTCTTTTGTAAAAGCATTATGTAAAGGCAGGAGCTTGCTAAGTATGCCAGTTACCTCAAGAATTTCTGTACACATTTCAACGATAAATAGCCCCAAGTCACCTAGGAATAAAACAGAAAAAAAACTTATACAATAGACAACAAATAAAAATATCATAAAAATAGTTTAAAAATTTTAGCAACTTGGCATAGAAAAGTTACTTTAGGCAAGCCTTTGTTGTACTGTTTACTGATAATAAATCTCCATTCAAAATTTAAAATGGATTATTCTCTGAATGACTTAAATGGACATTTTCTACTAAGGTGTATCATATTCAGTGGTGGGCTGCTGCCATTTCGGACCGGTTTGGGTGAACTGGTAGTTCTGATGATCAGCTGGCCCCGCCCATCCGCCCTATCCTGTCCTATATTTCTTTCTTTCTGGCTCAGCTGCTTCGCACAGCACAGCTGATTTCCGCCATTCCACTGTTCTACTTACCCGGGCTGCCTTAGGAGGTAAGCAGCTGAGCTTCAAATTGCTGTATTTTGAACGCTGCGCGCAAGCACTTTAGGCGCAAAGCGCACGCTCAAAAAACCGGTTGTTAAACCGGTTGCAGCCCACCACTGATCATATTAGAATGATGCCTTAGGACTACTGGTCATTTAACAACCATAGTGGGAGTTGGAACTGGCAACTTCATCACTAAATGACGTGGTTGTTAAGTAAGATATCATATGATTGCAATAGTCTTACGATGTCACTTCCTCTACAGTTATTAAGTGAATCACTCATGTTGTTAGGCAAGACATCACATGACCATAACTTGCAATTTTACTGCTGGCTTCTCTATTGACTTTATTGGTCAGAAGTCAACTGTGAGGCATGCAGATATGGAGATCATGTGACTGCAAGACACTGCAACAATCGTAAATATAAAGACTAATTATAAAGTTATTTTTTTAGCATACCCATAACTTTGAAAAATGACTAAATAGGGTAGTCATTAAGTGAGGGCTACCTCTATTCTCTAAGGGATGCGGTAATTATTGAATTTCTACGGTTTTACTCTATTATTTTTTATCTTACTACATATTCATTGAATTTGAGCTTTTTATCTTAAGTACGATAATAAAACTTGCCTTTAGATCTTATATAACACCATGCCACTTTTTCTGGTTTTGCTTTAGCATAATATGATTTAATATATGTGCAAAGCAGGCAAATATGTCTTCTTCAATAATAACTATGGTTTTAAAATCTTGGCTTAGCATTAGGTGAACGCAGATTGTTCAGTGTAGGACTGTATCACATGGGAACATTAAAATGAAGCTTATTTGAAGAGCAAATTTCTTGATCAATTTTTTTAAAGGGACTACATGGATCGTCTTTTAGATGAAAGTGAAAGTGCAGCATCCAGCAGAGCTCCTAGCCCTCCTCCTACAACTTCCAATAGTAGCACCAGCCATTCGGAAAGAGAGGACAGCACAACCAGCAATAGTAATCAAAATGGTAGGTAAAATATCTTCTTCCATCTAAATTCCCTAATGGTGCATTTTTTAAGCCAACAAAGTACATTTTTGCAAGTAATTTTCATCTAATTTAAATTATTCTTCTGTACATTTCCCAATTTTTGTCATTTTTTTAAGGATGCAAGCTACAATATTCAATTTTGCAAAAATGTATTTGGCTCATGTACAGTCTGCAGCCTCTTAATCACAAGGCTATTAGATTTGTCTATTAGATTAGTATCCTATCTTTCTCAAAAAAAACTCAGTATGGTGCTCCTTCTACCTCTTTTTTTCACCTGAACTCCCCTGCTGTGGAGTAGCTTGGACTGAGAGAGAAAGATTGACCATACCTACCCTTGAAATTTCCATCACTAAGGATACATTTAAAACTGTCCTTTCCCAGCCCTAGTGTAATATCTCACTACAGTTCTAGAGACATCTGAAATAATAATATTGAGTAAATAGAAGCGGGAAAATACCAGATGGTAAGCATTATTTAAATGCAAAGAAAATGAAATCAAATTTAGTTTGGGACATGATGTCATCAACCACTTTTATAGTGTGTCACTCAAGCTGTTTAAAAGCTAAATACTTACAAATTGGCCAAGTTTGTATTCTATATATTTGATGACATCATATCCATGCTATTTGGTTCATTTTTGTGACTTGTTTTTTAAAGGTGGTAGTTCTTTCTTTTCTGTTTTATATTCTCTTTTCTTTCTAGGTGTATCTACTAATGGGCCAAGTGAGTTATCAAGTAAAGATGATGTGAAAATTGAAGGACTGCATATAAATGGACCAACAACTGGCAAAAAAACGCATCTTGTAGATTTCGATACAAATGGTTATGAGCCTGAAAATCTTTCCAATCATTCTAAACTTCCTCATTCAAATGCAAGGCATGATCTTGAAGATGCGAATGAAAGGCCTATGAAAAGGAGAAGAATCAACAGCAGTGACAAAGAGTGCACAGCTTCCTCTGAAATTTTCCAAGAAACAGTAGCCCATGGAAATTTTGAAGACCAGGATAGTGTGGGTGACTGAATATGTTTCATTCAAATAATATTATGGGATGTCTGCATTTTCAGGGTTAATAGGTTCTCTTTAAAGATTCAAATCCCATAAAATAATTTATGGAGATTTTGAAATATATTTTAATTGCTTCCTAATCCTAGCTAAGGTTACCTTTTAAAATCCTGTAATGCAGATGCAGCATGTGAGAGAATTTTCTATCGGAGAGCCGGTTACTATAGAATCGGTTGAGAGGTTGTTGGGGGTTTTTTTAGGCAAATTTCTTTAGATGACTTCAGGGCACTAACCTGTTATGTAAATTATACTTTGAAAAATAACTTAAAATTCCCAAGCAGAATTGATAAAATGGACATGAAGAAAGAAGCAATATTGAACAGTTTAAGAAATGCCTGTAAATCCTGAAAGTTGCATGAGAATTCATTGGTGTGTGTATATGTATATGTGTGTCTATGTGTGGACATATGTATATATATGTGTGTGTGTTTATCTGTGTGTATATTATGTATATATACATATACATATATATATACACATATATATGAATGAATTATATTTTAAAAATAAACCAAGAGGTTTGTATGTAAAATTATTGACATCAGTGATGTCTTTCCATATTCTTATCTGGAAATAAGAAATACTTTCTGTATTTTTCCAGATTTTGTAGCCTTTGAAAGATTTTTACAATACTAAAAAGAAGTATGTAATTTTCATAACTTATACAGTATGGTAAACTTCGATCTTCTGAGAGTTGATCTTCTGAGGATTTGTCAGCTTCACTTTATTTTGCTAAAGCTTTTTTATTAATAAAGTCATGTTTCAGAAAGCAGTAGAAATTTTAAATATTTAAATTGCTTACCCATATTACGAATATCAGAATTTTCAAACTTTTATCTTGGGACAAATGGTGACTTAAAAGTTTTTAGATTAGCATGATGCTACGATTGCACAAGTGTTCTTGCTTTTATAATTGTTTTTCAGATTTCTTTTTATGAGATAGTCTAAAAAAATCAGCTAAAGGCTTTAATGTTTAACTCTTGTTAGTCAAGGTCATCCATTACCTTATTTTATCAGCTTATATGTACATTTTGGGTGAGCACAGTAGAATTAGGAATTGAATCAATTAAATCTGGCTACCTTGATGAGGAACAAATGCTTAGCCTGCGTGTACCGTAGGGCCTTATGCTACATCCAACAAATCCATGGATTTGTTTCTACTTCTGAGGAAGTAGAAAAGTGTGGGTAGTAGTTGTTATGGCGTGTATGTGTACTAATATGCATGGATTTGAGGTACTGTAAGGGTTGTTAACCTTTTTTACATTTGAAACAAGTCCTTGTCGGTCTGGGGATAGTTTCAGTAGTGACAGTTCCCATATATAAAAGGATTTGGATTATGGCCATAATGAAGGTTTACAGAATCAATCACGCAATGACATATAAAGTCTTTTATTTTTTTGTTGCCACATTGGCTATATAAAATAAAGTTTTATTTTGTGCTTGTCTTGGGGCTTACTTGAAATGTTACAACTATAACTTCAAGTTGATCTGCTCATTTAATGATTTGGCAAAATATAGAGTTTCATTTTAATTATGAAGTCCACTAGACTTTTAGATTGTCCCAACACAATTTTGTTGTAGTTTCTGGAGATATCTTTTTTTTAGCTTTCTTCTTTCTCATGAAACATTTTTGATGAATTCCATGCTTTAACATTATAGGACTAGTATTTATTGTCTGTTGCTTACAAGCAGTATACATGTATAAATAAAATATTTAATCTTTTAAATTTTACTGCTTTAGGGAAAGTGCCATGGCTGACCAAACCCAGTTTTGTTAATATGAAAATCCAAAGTTTTTGTAGCCTCGTATCAAAGATTATGTTTTAAAAAGTATATCAAAGCAAGGCAGTGCAATGCTTTTAGAAATCTTATTGCAACTTTGAAGGCCTATTTTCTGTTCCTTGTCTGTATTTTTGCAGGTTGGAAATGCTTGCAAGACTGTTCATAGGAAAGTTTATAAATATATTGTTCTCAGGCTTGTAAGTAAAATATAGCACTGTGTACATTTTTCAGAAACTTTACTTTGTCTTTAATCTTACCTTTGATGGTATGCCTAAGAAAATCCTGACATTCCATACTCAATATGTAATGCTCAGCTGTTTTTAAGTATTTAATTGTAATGTGCATCTCATTTATGCAGGTGTTTATACAATATTTTATTCATGTTCTTTAAAATGCAGCCACTATAACTTGATAAAGACATTGCACTATTAGTACTATTTAAAAATCTTGTAATTTAGCAACCAGTTCAAACAGCTTTTAGTGCAGTTTGGAAAAGATGAAACCCATTGCTTCCAAATTGGTTTGAAAAGTCAGTACAGCTTTGTATAGTGATTGTAATGTATATTTTAAGCACTATTGTGTCCTGATCCATAAAGTGCATTGTGTGCAGTCTGAATCAAACCTTCAACTCAACAGGCCTGACTGTTGGCTTTATAAAGGGTTTAAAGTGATATTTTGAAAGAAATCAAAAAAAAATTGCAAAGTAGTTTTTATAAATTTTTCACATAGTAATTTTGCACTGTTGGTAATACCTGTGTCTCTTACCTAGCTCCCTGTCTGCAATTCTGGAAAAGCTTATTAAAGTATTTTTTTAAAACATATTGCTTATATAAATACAAATATTGAGTACTTAAGAGTGGAATTTGTTTCTTTTAAGAGAATGTGAAAATGCTGCTTAATAATATGGGAGAGAATACTTGAATTGTTCAATAATAGTTTTAGCAAACCTTTGCACTTGGAAAAATTCTGTGCTTCACACTAGTTTCAAACTAAACTTCAGATATTTAATGACAATAGGGTTTTAAAAAAAACAATTAGGAATAAACTGAGATGCTGTGAAATTAGACCTGTAATATCTAAGTCTGAATATTTTTGTTGAGGGTGTTTGCCAATAAAATATAATCATTTCCTGATGTACGACAGAATATAGAGCTCAATTAATTGCTGTAATAAAAAATGGAGATCGTTATTAGAAGTATTGAGAAATTACTAGCCCAAATAGAATTTGTTTTATAGTTTTTTTAGATTCATTCAAATCTTCAGCAAAGAAAAATGAAAACTTGTAATTATGATTTAATAAACAAGGAAGAATTTGGTAAAGCCAGGATCTTATAAGGCTATATTCATATAAGTACAAATTTTAAAATTATAGTGCCTGGAATTAATAAGATTTAGAAAATTACAAAAGAAAATCAAACAATTTCTATTTTATGACAATTTGCATGGGAAATCAGTAAAATGCTAAACTATGTCATGTTTCTATTTTATATAATTGTGTGTGTGTGTTTATATAAAATAGAAACAAGAAATAAAACGATTCTAAAGAATGACCTGTAATCTTCCTAGTTTGATGTCCTCCAACTATTTGAATATGATTATTGTGATTAAGATACACGCAGATATAACTTTTTCAGATAGTCATATAATATAAATGAGTCAAAATTACGTACCCTGTGATGGCTAATAGTTAAAAGTATTAGTACCAAACATCAGAATGGGAGAACCAGTACAGTAATTTTAACCAGAGACACTTCATCTTGGTTAAGAGAGGAAATAATACTCAGATATAATTATCTTTTTTCCTTTTTTCATTTGATTATAATCAGATGATGCAACCAAGACTCCTCCATTGTTCAAGCTTGTCTTGAGATAAAATATGAATTAGCTAAATGTTTTTGCTGTTGTATATAGAAACTTAATAATATAAACCTGGAAAAGTTTAAATCATCTAAACATTTCCACATTATACATACTGAAATAGGGACATTTTTAAAATAAGTATTATATAAGAACTTTGTATCAATCTTGAGTTCATGGACACTTCTATAGTTTTCTTGGCCAACAGTACCGAAATAATTTGGCCTTTTAAAATAGATTTTACTCATTTGTTAAACATATAGCCTATTTTTTTCCAAAAGTTTAAGGTAGGAAACTTATACTGAGTGATGTTTTATTGAAAGAGCAATCTTGTGAGGTTGACTGAAAGATGGATTAATAACCTGCTGAAGGTCAGCCTGAACACAGGTTTCTCTGGGCCAGATCAACCACTTCATGTGATGAAGAGATGCTTTTATTCACATATCCTAGAAATATTTTCTCAATATTTAAAATCACATCTACTTTTTTGGAAGAGTAGAGAGATAACAAAGTCCTTGAAGTGGCACATACCAACTTAGTGTGGGGGATGTATATGTATCTGGAAGACAACTCCAAGCTTTCTCACATATTGTTCATCATACTTCAGAGGATCCAACTTACCTCTCTCAGCCCAACTCACCTCACAGGGTTGTTGTGGGGAAAATAGGAGGAGGAAGGTGTGTTGAATATGTTTGCCACCTTGAGTTATTATTAAAAAAAAAGACTAAATAGATGACTGGTTTTACAACAATAGGCAACTACTATTAAATTTGTTACACAGTTAAGAGTTCACTAAAAAGTGGTGCCAAAGCCTAAGATAATTAACAGTATAATACCTATAGTATTCTTAAATCTATTGTCACTAAAATATTGGAAGTCTTATAAAAGCCAGAACAAAAAATGTAAATGGAGACAATCTTGATTTATTTAAGCCAGTACAAAAATACATAGCACAAAAAAGTTATACATTAAAAATGTTTATTCCTAATGCTGGATTGTTCTATATAGGAAAAATAGTAACAGGAAGTTTAACAGTGTAGAAAATAAAACTATAAGACTTGCTTACCTAGGCAGTATATATATTTTCTAAAACTTGGCACTAAAAATGTGTATATTACAAAAAAGCAAATGAACTCAGTACTATTTAATATGGCAGTAAATCTATCCAGTAGATTAACATTTTGTCTAACAAGTACCTGAGAGCAACTGCCTCAGTAGAGCAGGTTAACAAAAATACAATAATTTGACTGAATTATAAGAATTCCAGTCTAACAGCATCCCTTATTCTACGTTTATTTGCATAAATCATCCACAAGCATTTTATGAGAATTTTGGTGTACAGTATAATTAAGGTAACAGTAGACCAAGGCAGCTGTGTGCTAAGTAATCCATTTTTTAGCCTGCATCACCTAAATGCTACCATTATCTACTTAACAAGCCAGCATAAGTAGACAAGAAAATAAAATTCTAGTATAATAGATCCCTTTAATCTACCTTCAAAGTCAAGATAGTTCATTCTTCTAAATAGCTGGCAGGTATAAAATCTAGAGATAAATCATTTTGATTAAAATATTGGTTCTGATAATTGATTTATAGACTTGGAGAAACTACACATCTTTTTTTGTCGAACTGACTCTTGTGGTCTGCAGAACTACCTACAATCATAGTGTTTAAATTCAGCAGCAAAGCAGTAATAAAGGAAGGAATAAACTTCCATGGTTTAGAATTGAAAACAGAAAAAAAAACCTAAACACGGCAAAGGATGACTTAACACATCTTAGGCAAAGAAAAAAAAAATTGGCACACCCAAATTTCACTATTCCACCCTCCTCCAAAATTGCTGCTGGCTAAGACAGCATTTATCCAAAAGAAAAACATGGAGCCCATAACATTTAAAAAGTTGCTTCTTGCTTGAATGGACAATGTTCTATTGATCAAAGGTTACAATGCACCTATTGCTAATGGTTGGGAGGGGGTATCTTATGGGGAGAACAGGGCTTGTTTTTCAAATCGCAGTAAACCTATTGAAAGACTTGCACATGTACTTCATACCTCAAAACAGCAATAAATTTGCAACATTATGGATAAGAGTATTTCCGAGGCTGCAAAAAGGCTCAAGACCGTCATGTTGCTGTGAAGCTCCAGGATTCTCTTTTCTGCTTTACATTATTCCAGAACAACTGTTAGTTACCCACTCTGCATATTGCAAGTATGCACTCTGAAGTTCTGTGTTTACTTTCAACAGTTTAAGGCTAAGAGAATGTATTTTAAAGTGTGCCAAACAATCTGCGATCTCAGACAGCAACTTACTGTTGGAGTAGGATTTCTTCTTAGTGTTGTTGCAATGTCCAGCATAGTTCTTTGCCCCCCTCCTCTAACAAAGTCATAAATATGCAAAACAATAATAATTACATGCTAAATAATGTCTCCAGTATACATAATTCGGCTTTTGGTGCCAGATCAGGAATGACTGCATATTTATATTTAACACAGAATATGTAAGATTTACCTGTTTCACAGACTTCAATTTAGAGTTAAATTTAACCCACAAAGCCATTAAGGACATAACTGTACCTTACATACAAAATCATGGGGATACGGAAAAACAGACAAGACAATCTTGAGGCCCACTGAGAGGGACAGATTAAAATTACTTCATTTTTGTTAGTGTGGCAATTTTGTTAGTGTGTGAATTTTGGCACCACTTCCACAGGCTTGACAATCCTGAACCAGAAGTTGTCCGGACAATAGAACAACAGGGTAGAAATTCTCCTTAGCAAGAAATTCACTTACAATCTCAGCTTCTTGGATGAGAAATCTTTTAAATTCTGATCATTTTAGTATTTAACTTTTTTCTTTTTGAAATTTAGAAAAACTAATACCTTAGAATGTTTAATAATTAAAAGGTGCTTAACAAGTTTTATTAAAAGGCAGAAGCTTTTATGAGTTGTACTCACTTTATTGGATGCATGAAGTGGATAAAAGGAGAGGATTTGAAAAAAAAATGCAGCAAGTGGAAGAAAAAAGGGTAGTTCTGCATATGCAGGTTACATGTAGGACAAATTATAAGTACCTCATGAATTAATAATAGCAATGTATTAAAATCATTTGTGTTTGTTAAACCTTAGATATTGACAGCCTGAAGATATTTTATGTGAGTTGATTCTGGTGTAGTTTTGTTTTAAAATTGCAAATATGAGCTACAATTCATGAAAGCATGTGCCTTTTAATAAGATCCTGCTAGTAAAAAAAAAAAAAAAAAAGTCCTACCATCTACCATAGATGATAGCTGCCAATCTCACAGAGTTCTCCATTACAATGTCTTTAATGTTTAAAAGGGATTATTTATTATATTTTTCAATCTCTCTACGTACAAGGCCAGGAATTTGTGGTTCATTGAGTCAAATAAACTGAAGCTAGGTTTTCTTTAGTGAAAAGCAAACTGGAATTCGTTCAGCAGAATATTTTGCTTTGAGCCATTTTTCAAACATGGTCTGAATTTGACAGATAGCTCCTTAAAATTCAGAATTTTCTGGATAAACACTATCCAAATACTATCCAGTTTTCCTCATGTTTCAGTGTAAGTGGGTAAGAGGCCTATGATAGGGCAACTGATAGTAGAATATACTATCATTTCTTTTAAAGACTTGTGTTGGAGACATTGTAAATCTGATTTGCTTTGCAACAATATGAAAACCTCAAACAGATACAAAAGCTTAATTTGCAAGGCTGGTGAGGCTCCTTTGAAAACAGCTTCTTCCACATCAATGTGAACACCCAGGACTTCACTTTCTTCAAAATGGGACCTGTTTAATGGTTTAGCATGATATGTGAACCTATTTCAAAAAGGAAGCTAGAGTTGATATACTGGGGGTATAACTTCCAACAGCATGCTTTTCTATGTCCAAAAAGCTTCAATAAACGTTTGCAAAACTACTTTTTTCCAGAAAAAAAATGTGCATTTCTAAACACTTAAATCACCGAAGGGCAAACTCTCATTTATAACAGTCTTTTAAAAAGCTATAACCTTTAAAAAACAAACAGTGATGAGATTTTTCTTTAAAAAAGGACACTGATTGCATAGAAAAAAACTAAGTAAATAAAAGAAAACCTTTTACTGGGGAAAAACACCCACATTTTAGTACTGTAGTTTGTTTTTCTCATTTCTTCAGGAGAAAACTGCATTTAAAACCTTACTCTTTAGAACATTTATCTGTTCTTTATCTGTAACAGGTACTGATAAGTCTATAAAAGTTTGAAACAATTCTGACCAAGCTAACCCAATCAATGTGTAACACACACTTAAAAGTGCTTCACTAGGTTCAGGGAAAAAAATTAGATGGGACATTGACAAATCCTAAATTTGTTTGGGTAACATTTCTGTTGATTGTGAATGTAGGTCTACCTTCCCCACAAACCGCAGTTCAGAGTATCTTCTTATTTATACACAGCTTCATGCAACAAGATATAGGAACTATCAGTACATTTCATTCATACAGATTGCATGACTTCAAGGAAAATGCAGTTAAAGTTGGAGGGTTCAACAAGCCAAAACCATGAGAGTCTGAACAATAGGCTTGCTTGATTTCATTGATGCATTTTCTTGCTGCACCCAATCCTGATCAACAACACTTTTGCTGCATTTGAGATTATTAATCCTGTTTCACTACATATATAATTCCTTGCAGCCTAAATGCAATCTATTCATCGTATGTGCAGTCCAGTATAAATAATTGATTCCAAATGTGGCGATCTTCAGATTGTGCAAATACGACTTAGCCATCCAATTCCATTCAGAAACTGCATACTACAGTGATTTGTCAACAACATCTTTCTAAAAAGTGAGAGTTACTCTAGTAAGCATGCCTATTGTCATACAGCGCTTTTCCCTTTAATGTCCATCTTGATGCTAGCTTCAGACTGTTTACTTATTTGTTCTTCTGTAAAAGTGATGTAGGAATATACGAGGCTTCCAGCAATACTGCAAAACATTAGCATTTAGAATTAATAAACAAAAACGTCTTCATGAAATATTAAATTTGTGGTCAGTACTGTAGCAGCCATGGACACCCACAAGGCCCTCAGTAAATTCTTTGTCCCCCAGTCAGATACCATGTCTCCTCACCCACACACCACCCACAGTCGAATTTGCATTTCTTCCTACACAGAAACTGCATATATTTACCACATTTTATTTCAGCCATAGGAAGAAAAGTGGAATTATTTTAATTCCTTCTATATGTTCTAGGCATGTTGGGAGTTACCTGTTTACTCAAGGAGCTGCTGCCAGATATTTGATAGGTGAAAATAGCTGATACTTTAAACCCAAAGGTCTCTTCCTATATTTAAATACTAATTGAACTGTTAAGTCGAGGACAACCTGTATATATTTTGGCCAGATGCTGTGATGCAAGTACATATTATATCATTTGCTTAACAATGTCATAATATATGTAATATTTCTTTACCCCTTCATAGCTTGTTATGTATACTTATGGTTTAAATTTGCTTTATTCCCAACAGTATTCTTATAGAAGTTGTTCCCATTTAAGACTATAGTGAATACGAGAAGAAAATGTTAACAACCATCTATAAATAGCCAATGGAAAAAAAATCCTCCATATTTTAATACTTGCACTTGATTACATAGAAAATGAAATTTTATCAGAATTGTTGATTTAAAGCCAACCTCATATGAAGATCTTTCTAACTCCAGTCTTTCAATTTCTGTTGCAATACTTTTTTAATTTCTTAATCATACTTTGATTCAGAAATAATTTAGTAAATAGGTTGATCTTATAGGGCTTTCATTCTAACCAACATAAGGCCAGACTGAGTAATTTAAAAGTTAATTATAGTACCCAAATGAGATATGTCATTGTTTTTCACTATTTTTTGTGTTTATTAAATTTATTTGCCACCTATTGCACCACGAGAGGACTATATCCTTGAATTACATCATTTATACATTTCTTGAGATAAGAAAAAACCATAGCAGAAAAAACAGACTCCTATGTGAACAAACTTAAAACTCATATACCAATAAAAAACAATTAGTTAACTAGCAGTCATATGATTAAATAATCCTAGAAGCCAAGCAAAGCCTACGAGTATCATTCAGACAACATAGATCTCCAATATATTCAGTAGTATCATGCAGCACAGTAGTATATTAGAATACATTTCATATTTTTGTTATATGTTTTTTTAAATTTTCCCTACCTTTCCATCTGCAGCTCCCAAAATGTGTACCAATATATGAAAAGTATATCATAATATTAATCTTAACAGTTCCTTAAATGTAATATATTTCCAAGTTCTATAGGATTTATTTCCAGGCTAGTTGCTGCAGCAAAGCTACTATAAGCATTTTTTCATAAAATCCATAATGAACTTGCATAATTAGTCCATTTACTTCTTTAAAAGGTAGATACTTTACTTACCTAATATTTAATCCTACAAAATTTGTCCATGTGAAAATATAATCTCCTCCAAAGAACATTCCTATGTAAGTTATTAGTATATTCTGGAAGTAAAGAAATGAACAGAATTTAAGCTTTTAAACAGAGTGTTTAAGTAGATTTGTCAGATAGAAGATATTATGTTCAGAAATTGCCATAATACTTTAAAATATTTATAAAACAATGAAGCAAAAGATCACAGATGCTGTCCCAGCATTAAAAGAAACAAATGCAATCTGATTACCTTAAAAATTAGATTTAAGTAGTTAGAATTTCTATAAGAAATTGCATGAAATCCCACAGCTCTACCACATCACCTCCATCTGTCAGCTTTTCCCACATATACTGCATTTGTTAAACAAAAATTACCATTTCTCTCACACATACATAAAGGCTAATTCAGGTTACAAGCTTTTCTATATCAAGCTAATATAATATTCTCTATGATTTTGTTTCCAAAATGTACCCCTCCCCCCCAAAAAAGTAGGGCTGAATTGTGTCTATTTTCGAACAAAACTTGCAAAATGAGACAACTTTTTATTGGTTCTAAAAATTTAAAGAGCTTACCTTAATACAGCCAACTATTGTAGTTGTAAGGGCAGAGTTATACTGAGTGCAAAGTACTGTTGAATACATCAGAATAAACCTATATAAGATAGACAAGATTTTGACAATCAATTTAATATAATTCAAACATGGACCAAAGACAGATAAGTAGTCAGTTTCTGGGAAACCAGAAACTGACTATGTAATTCCTGAATTTTTGGCAAGAATGTTTAACAATACTGGGTTAGAGTCTCTTTTGAGGTGCTCCAGAGACCCTGCAATCATTAGATGTGATTTGATGCAGCAGCAAAATTCCCAATTGTGATTATCCATACTTTTATGATGAAATAAGATCCAAACAGGGTCTTTGAGTCCTAACACACCCATTTTGCTTTTGAGTCTGTTCCTAAACTTTTAATCACCGCACCACCCTGCAACATACATAATTTCTGTCTCTCAGTGATGTTCCCGAAGGAACAGTTGTAATCCTGAAGGCGCTATTTGAAAAGAGAGGGGAAAAAAGTTACCCACTTTTCAATTTGAAGAAGCAAGATATTTAGATTTGTAAAATAGCAAGCATACTTAGTTCATGTAACAAAAATTCAAAAAAACCCAAAAAAAACAAGTTTATTAGTCAGAAACCAGAGACCAGAACAAATAAAAACACTTAAGGAATATCCAGTTAAAAATTCTAGAATAAAACAATAAATAGCAGATAAAATCTATATTAAAATCACAATTTGGTATCCAATCTGTCAGTTACACACAGTCTAACTATCAATTCTTAAACATAGTCACTAAATACTAAAATGCAAAAGAGCAGTAATGCAAAAGGGTTTGCTACATTAGTTGTGTAAAATAGCTATGGTGGTTAATCACATATTTCGGACAAAACTCCAGTGCTGCTGCGCAGAATCTAGCCACCTGTATTGTAATCACAGTCTGTTTGTCCTTAAGCAACCAATGGAGATAAGCAATGTCAAAATGGCCAGGATAAATATCGATTATTGGTAGGACATGACACAAATTCATTGAGGAGGAGAAAGAATTTTCAGCTTTAAAATCTCACTCTAGATTTAGTCCAGAAGATCTATAATAAATAGAATCCAGAATATATTTCAGGGATATACTGGAATTGGGCATTGCCCCTTTTTGCTGCTATATAAGTGTGTTAGAGTTTAAAGCTACTGAAATGTGCCTGAGGTACTGTATATCAACAATAATTGTTTTCTGATGTAATACCTGCCTGCTGTGAATCCTATACACTAAAATAAAGTTGCTAGAAAGACTTTAATGCATTGGGGAAAAATTGGGGAAGCCAAAAGTAAAGTATTCTTACCCCATTACACAGGAGAGTGTAAATTGTGCAAGGAAAAGGGTATCTGCCCAACCTTTATATTCCATTGCCTGAAAACAAATTATATGTATATTAATAGACAAATCAGAAATATTTTTCATAATATTTCATCCAAGTAAGCTGAAAAAATATAGTGTCAGAATTCATAGATCACAAACTACACGTAAATGCCTTTTGTATGAAATCTTACACAGTGGGAAATTGTTCATCTCAACAGAAACTAATATTTGAAAATAAAATCCCATCCTGTATTATTACTCTGTAAGTGATAAGAGAGACAATAGCAATTATAAATTATAGCAGATTTGTTTAACGATGTGTATCATAATGTGCATAAGGTCTGGCAAACATTTTGCCTAATATAATAAGTCTATCAATCCAATATATTTTTAATATTGTACCATTATTAAGCTTAAGGAAAAATATAAATAAAATTTATTTGTTAAATTTTTATGTCATCCATCTCCATATAAGGTGATTATGGGTGGTTAAAATGAAAACAAAAATCAAAATATATTTTATCATAGTCCTTTATAATAGTTTATCTAGTCATCTCTATTGTACAATATTCAAGCTTACTATTTTTTTCAGCTGCCTCTGTATTAGAGCTCCACAGTGAAGATACCAAATCACAGCAAAGTTCAGAACAAATTATCCAAAGATCTGTGAATTTCAATGGTTTGTATGAAACTATGACAGGAGGGCCTACCCATAAATTAAAATGTTTTATATCTTGACTGCAAAAGATTTCCTTAGATATTAGAAGTAATTTCTGGATAAGCTTTTGAGGAGTAGCTGGACTTTGAATAGTCTCTTTTATTAAAGCCACAGAACTACAAGCAGCGATGACTGAAAACTGATGATGGACTGATACAATCTGCAGCAGGAGCCAGTTCAGAGCACCTGGGATTTTACATAAAAGTGCAAAGGAAATGCATACCTTAGGATACACAAAGAAAGCTTTAATACAGAAAGCGGATTACATCTAAGGAATGCATGTCAATAAAATCCCACAGTTCTACTCAATACATCTTGGCAAATTTTATTCACAAAACAAGATTATCTCCTCCAACTCATGAAAGCAAGTTCTGATTAGTAAGTAAACACCTTTTTATCGATGTATATCTCCACAATAGGGAAGAAACTTTACTGCTTCTTCTAACAGGGGTCTTATTTCAAGTGAACAATTACTTTGAGTTTCTGTGATGTCTTTTAAAATCTTCCCTTTCACATACCATTGCAATACAGTCTAATACCTTCCTATTGAAAGATAATGGAACAGAGTCTGGCTGGCAGAGATTTGTTTATTAGAATTAGAATTAGAATTTTTTTATTGGCCAAGTGTGATTGGGCACACAAGGAATTTGTCTTGGTGCATATGCTTTCAGTGTACATAAAATAAAAGATACGTTCATCAAGAATCATAAAGTACAACACTTAATGATAGTCATAGGGTACAAATAAGCAATCCGGAAACAATATCAATATAAATCGTAAGGATACAAGCAACAAAATTACAGTCATACAGTTATGTCAACAAATGTAGTATAATACAGTACTGATTTATTGATTTAAATTTATTTATGCATTAAATTTTATTGCCCATCTCACTGCAAGGCAAGGCAATGCTGCGCATATCTTGGGTCAGTCACTGTCTTTTAAGCTAACCCACCTGACAGGGTTGTTGTGAGGAAAATAGGAAGAAGAAGGTATGTTTGCCGCCTTGAGTTATTTGTAAAAAAAATAATAAAAGGCGGGATAGAAATGACAGCAGTTTGGATTTCCTCCATAAAATCCCACCCCAAAAGACATTTTTCAAGTCACAATATAAACTGCTTCTCACAAGCTTCTTCCAAATTTAACCTAAATCTAAATGCATAACTTAAATGTCTTGCACATAAAAGCTTTATGGATATGCCGATAGTTTTATTTACAAATAAAACAGTTCAAAAATGGGATTATAAATTCCTACTTTTGCTATCTTTTTAAATTTGGGAGAGAGGGATGTTTTCTCCACTAGCTTTCTATGTGCAGCATTCATTCACATAGAGCAGGATGGAGAACCAAATCCCACCCTAATCCGTATTTAGGAAACTTCATGAAGTAACATGAAAAGCTCATTATAGGAGCAATTCTAACCCAAACGTTTGCTTGCGGTGTAGGTTTCCTCTTGCAGACATTATTGCACAAAAGGTGAACTTACAGTCTGAAAAGGCTCAGTTTGATTAGCATTTTGCTTTGCCACATTTACCATCGTACAGAGGCAGAGGCAGAAGAAAGATTCAAAGATTGCTTTAGAATGCAAAATTTATTCCACAAGTTCAACTTTATTACAGTCATTGATCCAATATTTTACACAAATCCAAAATTATAAAGTATCAAGAAAATTAGGACCCACAGGAAAAGATAAAATAGATTTGTGAAGTGTGTAAAGAGTTGAAGTGTAATTCCTAAAATAGTAGAAAGAGAATAAAATATTAAAGAGAAATAAGATACTAAAAAAACATATAATAAAATATATTTACTTTGGTATTAAGCACTACATTTATAAAAAAAAAAACACTAAATCTTAGACTGTTAAGAAAAACTTTATTAGGCATAATTTCCCAATGAGCATTTATAAAATCAAAAGAAACACTTAATTTGGGGAGGAGATGTAAATGCTATAATGCTTTCACAATCTAAACATTGACACAGAAAAACATGGAACCTGGAGGTAAAAGTAAATATAAATAATATACCATAGTTAATTTGCAATGTGCATAGAAATGATGCATAGTGATGCATAGTTATGGAAGAGATTTTATTTTATTAATAAAATCTGTTGTTTTATTAGCATTTTTTTAACGTATGAAAAGTAATAAAAAATCAAGAGTATTAACTGCAGCATCAGCAAAAAGGTTCATCTAATGCAGGGGTGTCAAACACAAGGCCCGTGAGCCGAATTCAGCCCGCGATGTGGTTGGATCCAATCAGAGGTGGGCTGCTACCAGTTTGCACTGGTTCTCCTGAACCAGATGTTAATTTTCTGAGTTCAGAGAACCTGTTGTTGGAAGAAATCTTTTCCCAGTTTACAGGGCTAATCCTGCAAGGGAGGCAGGAAGGAAACATTCTGGTATGCCTGTATTTCTAGCCTAATCCTTATCTTAATTGCCCCGCTGCTTTAACTGTTTTCAGAAACTGTTCCTGGGTTTATTTATTATTTATTATTTTTTTAAAATTTCTATACCGCCCTTCTCCTTTCGGACTCAGGGTGGTGAACAGCCAAGTAAAACACTTTATATACAAAAGTTAAAATAGATTTAAAATAATTAAACAATTTGGCCCATAATTTAAAACATTTCAATTTAAAACCAATTTCAAATTTTAAAAACCCCATCATAAAATCAGGACAGCCTGGCTAACTGAAAGAGGTAGGTTTTAAGGGCCCGACGAAAAGTCCGGAGGTCTGGGATCACTCGTATCTCTAGGGGTAGATTGTTCCAGAGGGTAGGTGCCACCACAGAGAAGGCCTCCCCCTGGGGGTCGCTAGCCGACATTGTCTGGCCGACGGCACCCTGAGAAGGCCCTCTCTGTGGGAGCGAACTGGCCGGTGGGAGGCAATTGGTGGCAGAAGACGGTCCCGTAAGTACCCCGGCCCTAAGCCATGGAGCGCTTTAAAGGTGATCACCAACACCTTGAAGCGCACCTGGAAGTCCACCGGAAGCCAATGCAGCTCGCGCAGGAGAGGAGTCACATGGGAGCGCCCCATCACTCCCATAATCCCCCGCGCGGCCGCATTCTGCACCAGTTGGAGCCTCCGGGTGCACCCCAAGGGTCCCATGTAGAGAGCGTTACAATAGTCCAGACGAGAAGTGACGAGTGCTTGAGTGACTGTGCGTAGGGAGTCCCGATCCAGAAAAGGGCGCAACTGGCGTATCAGGCGAACCTGATAGAAAGCCCCCCTAGCCACGGCCGTCATATGCTCTTCTAAAGACAGCCGTGCGTCCAGGAGGACGCCCAAGTTGCGGGCCCGTTCCGTGGGGACCAATGATTCCCCCCCAATAACCAGCGATGGCGCCAGCTGGCTATACCGGGACACCGGCAGCCACAGCCACTCGGTCTTGGAAGGGTTGAGTCGAAGCCTGTTTCTCCCCATCCAGACCCGCACGGCCTCCAGGCACTGGGACATCACTTCCAAGGCATCGTTGGGATGGTCTGGGGTGGAGATGTACAGCTGAGTATCATCAGCGTACTGATGGAACTCCATCCCAAAACCACGGATGATCTCACCCTGCGGCTTCACATAAATGTTGAACAGAAGGGGTGAGAGGACCGACCCTTGTGGCACCCCACAAACAAGGCACCTTGGGGTCAACCGCTGCCCCCCTGTCAACACAGATTGCGACCGGTCGGAGAGATAGGAGGAGAACCACCGCAAAACGGTGCCCCCCACTCCCAATCCCTCCAGCCGGCGCAACATGATACCATGGTCAATGGTATCAAAAGCCGCTGAGAGATCTAACAGGACCAGGATAGAGGAATAACCCCTACCCCGAGCCCTCCAGAGATTATCCACCAACGCGACCAATGCCGTTTCCGTGCTGTACCCAGGTCTGAAACCGGACTGGAGCGAATCTAAATAGACAGCTTCATTCAGGTACTGTGGAAGCTGTCGCGCCACCACACTCTCAACAACCTTCGCAATAAAGTGAAGGTTGGAAACTGGACGATAGTTAGCCAAAACAGCCGGGTCTAGGGAGGGCTTCTTGAGGAGGGGCCTCACAACCGCCTCTTTTAAGGCGGCCGGCAAGACACCCTCACTCAAAGAAGCATTAATAATCCCCTGGAGCCAGCCTCATGTAACCTCCCGGGAAGCCAGCACCAACCAGGAGGGACACGGGTCCAATAAACATGTGGTTGCGTTCAGCCGTCCCAAGATCCTGTCCATGTCCTCGGGAGCCACAGGATCGAACTCCTCCCAGATAACACTCTCAAGGCCTGCCTCAGTCATCTCGTCTGAGCTAACCCAGTCAGCGGCCAAGTCTTCCCAAATCTGAGTTATTTTATC